CGTGTGGCTTAGGGCAGGCACCTTATCTCCGTGCAGTGCCGTCAGCCCCCGATCTGCGGCGTGACATCAAGGCAGGTCCGACCGACTGGCGCTTTAATTAGGAGGCTGAAATTATAATATTATGTTAAAGAACAAAGAGCCTCCAAAGAAAAATATGTGCCGCATATCTGACAAAGATAAATTGGATTATTCAAAATATTCCTGATGAAATGTTACGTTTTGCAACTAATTATCAATCTGTTTTATCTCCAGACCAGCTGGGCATTTTTGTGCATGCAAGACCTGCCTTACCAATGATCTTAAGATGTCACTGTAGCGTTTACATCTTTTATTTCAAGATTTAAATAACTAGGAAGTAGCTAATGTAATTCACTGCTGAGAAGAAAGGCTAGTTAGTTGAATGCTTTCCAAAGTGATCTTCTCCTAATGAACTTCTTTGGACTGTGAGTAATGAGGCTTTATTCAAATAATGTTTAAGAAAGATTTTTATAATGTAATTTTTAAAGAAAGAGCAATATTTAATACATTTAAAATATCTTTATTAATCCTATCCTGCCTCATGTAGCGTTAAAGCATTGTGAAAATTTGGTATTGTTTTCTGAATGCTACTTTTGAGATGAGCAGGTTCTAGCTGCAACGGAGCTATAGGAATCAGGCAATTATCTCGTAAATGTTCAGCGATATCTTACAAATTACAGTCTGACATGATTACAGTGCCATTTTGCAGTAAAAGCATGTATTGTTTAAGTATATTTATATATGGTAGTAGTACCTAACTCCCCTGATCCCTAGTCAGACAGTATACCTACCTGCAAGCAGCGTGCTTTGCTACCTCTGTTATCGCCTGCCATTTGGGACAACTGTGCCTAGATTAATCTACTGGAGGTGTCATTAAAATTTCCTTTTGTGTGTGATTTTTGTAGTAGTTTTCAACTGGAATAAGAGAAAATACCTAATAGGTTCCCTACAATAGCAGGTTTCTGCAATATTTTTTGTTCTTGGTGACGTTATGAAGTTCTGCTGGAACTGCTCTGGCAAATATTGCTTTTATGGGACTGACCCGACAAGGTGACCAAAAAAAAAAAAAAAACCAACCCCAAACCATTTTAATTTCCGACATGAGGTTTGCTTGGCCAGTTGCTAGGAAAGGGACAACAATAAATGCATTTGAGCAACCCCTCACATTTTTGATTAACTAATGAAGTGTAATCTTTGGGCACGGGCTGATCTCATCCTTCAAAAAGGTTGACTCCCACTGCATATGGGAATCTGGCCCATACACTGTGCAATTATGTATTTCTGAAGCTAGCTTTATTTACAGCAGAGGATCAGCTCAGAAAGGACTACTTAATTCTAGAACTTTAATTTTTTTGCTTTTATCTCCCAATAGTTACTTTTTGAACTCTATATTCAGCTTGTCAGAGTTTTCCCAAAGTAGGATCTGAATAAGAAAGCAGGATTGGATCTCTTGGGAAGGCTATTTTTTTCCTCCAGAGAATTCTTTCTGGTTATTCATGCAGGGGAAAATCCTGGTGGTCTTGCTCATGGAAATAGTCCCTGCCCACATGGCCTAGTGAGTGGGGAGCAGATCTCTACCCATGTAAGAAAGGCCAGCAAGATGTATCTGTTCCTCTGGGCTGCTCGGCTGCAAAGTAGGCTAGTGGCATCAGAGGACACGAGCTTCTGCTTCCAGTTGACTTAGGCTGGAATACAACTTGTTTCCTGGAGCCGGATCAAAAAATGTGAAGAGTTCAGCTGGTGGCACATAGAACAAAGCCAAATCGGTTTGCGCAGCTCATCATTTTTTCTTCTCGTTTCTACAGAGGAAATTGTGTCCTAACTGCTAATCATGGTAACTGTTCATAACAGCTTCTAATGCCATTATATAAACTGCCTTTTTAATCAGGGTCTTCCTGAAGCTGCTCACTACCTCCTCTACCTTTCCATGTGCTACCAATGCCTTATCCTGCAAAGAGCCACGCAACTCATCAGAGGTGCTCAGCACGCTTGCTTTCTCCTGAAATTCCTGTGAGTTAGGAGTGGTCAGCATCAGGCAGAATTTGGCCCTTGCTTTGCAAAAAAAATCTCTTTCAGTTTGAATGTTTCATAATGTATGTTTAAATAGTCACAGCTAGCAAAGAACTTTGATGAGGCAAAGGGGTAATTGGATTTTCTTGTTCTATAATTAAAAAGGTATATATTACATCCACATTAATACCAAAAGAGTTCATCATGATCAATGTTATTACAAGGAATACCAAAGGATTTAACAGTGATTGGCCACTTAGTTTAAAGGGTACCTGAAATCATTAAATTGTTTGCTGGAGGGCTTATGAAAGCCTATTGGATCGCTTGCGACTAAATTTTTTTTTACTACTGGCCTGCAATGTAAGGTTTACTCTTACAAAGTAGGAGCAACAGGGTGATCATTTTGCTTTTATTATTCCCTTATTGACTTCCAGTTAATTTTAATCTTTGCATTAACTGACCTCTATTAAGCATGCCATGTATCTGATTACACTGTCAAGGTTGAGACCGGAAAATGACCTATTGCACCACGTCAATTGTCCTTCACAGAAGCCCTTACTGTTAATCAAGAGAGGAAGATTAAAGAAGATCAGAACTACCAGCCTGAAGTGCATTTTGCATTTGACTACACCTTTCTACCCGTGCATGTGTATTGTCCTGGAAAAAACAGCATAGAGATACGCAAGCTGTTAGGAGCAGCTTCTGCTCGTATCTCTGCAGAGAGAAGGTCTCAAGGTAAGGTTACATACGCAATCTCAGCTCTACCCTTAGCCATTTCAACAGATCCATAAAATCCTAAATTAAGTTATCTCATACTGGTTTTGGACAAAGACAACATATGTTCTTTCTGCAATATTAAAATGCTCACATTTAATTTTGTTCAGTTCTACGTAGGTATAAATCAGTTTAATTATCTCTCAATGTGACTTGCTCACCTTAGGTCATTGGGTAGGTCATAGCTGACCCTTCGTCAGCACACGAATGTTTGTCCAGGCTTGGAGTAGCTACTCAGGTGGTGGTGGGCTTTGAGCAGGATTTGGGTTTGTAGAATTCTTCGTGTTAAAGCAACGGCACTAATTTTTGTCAGTTTATACGTTTAAAATGGGTTTTAGCAGGCTACCTTCCCACATAAGTGAAGCTCCGAGTGTCAGAATGAGTTGTTATGCATTCAGAATGTGTGATTTTTTTAAAGATGTGACCTTGTTGAAATCAAACCCGGTTTTTGTCACAGTGTTCAGTAACACGTTGTTTGGCTGAATGTTATTTTTCTGCCATATTTCACCTTACTACTCCCAACTATTGCAGTGCTAGAGCGATTCCAGAGGAACTTTTTTTTGCTGTCACGAAGAAAATGCACAGTATGAGCAACAAAAGCAATATTGCTACCTCAGCTTATTGTGGTCAGACTCATATTAATAACCATAAGTGAAACTTAACATAACATTGATGTTTGTAAACTTTTCAGTTTTTAACAACATTCTGCTTTTAAGCAGACGCCTGACTTCCTCTGTTTCTTGGCTTTGCTCACTGTCAGTCCACTTCCAAAAATAACTTTGCAATGTGACAGAATTTCACTGAAGAAATTTGCAGATGCAGCAAGCGAAATAGATCGAAGAATGCATAAAACTGTATTTCTCTTAGTTCTAACATCTTCTCTGTGTGAATCATGATATCGAAAAATTGTCAGGTCCTCAACAGAAAGGTGATTTATCAATAATCAGAATACCTTCAGTTGGTTGTGTGTCCAAGCGTTGCTGCCTTTTACTGGGACAGAATAGCTGGCTTTGCAGGTATCTTGTCACGGACAGATGTTTTATTGACCTAGAGTTATTGTTTTGAGGGCTTTAAAAAAAAGTTCTTAAGCTTATAAAAAAAATCCATGTTTTTAGCTCTTCTGAAAGGTTTTTGCATTTATAATAATGGTATTTATTACTCTTCAGCTCTTCGGAAACGTTTACTAGATCACAAGGCACAGGTAGCTGCTTTTGTTGCCTCTGTTGCAGGTGAGTACACGAACATTTTCCTTGATGGAACTGGGAAATGTTACTGAGTGTTAGAACCCGGAGGGATGATAAATAGACATGTCAGTATTTAACACTAACCAAAAGCATTTGAGACCAGATTGAACTAATTTTACTAGTAGTTAGTGTAATTAAATGTTTTCACCAGGATGGAAAGTCATGGTTTGATTTTGAAGTAATTTGCTTGACAAATATCAGATGTTAAAATAATTAAAGCTTAGCCATTTATATTTAATCTCAAGTGGATCCATGAAAACAAGCCTCTAAATTATATCAGATTCATATATTAATTGACTCATGGATTTTAAGACCAACAGGGACTATTATGGTCATCCAGTCTGGCCTTCTGAATAAGCGGTCATGGAATTCCACCAAGTAATTCATGCATTCAACCGCTATTTTTAGAAGAAATCCATACAAATTGAAAAGCTTACAATGACTTCGTAGCCTTTGTAATCTTATTACACAGAAAACCTGTAGAAACACAGAAGCTCTAGGTGAGCGTAAGATAAGGTTTGCACAGGTGCAACTGTTATGGAGTTATTTCCCAAACTTTTGCAGTCCTCTTGAAGTGATGTTTAATACTGCTAAAAGGGAAAGCATCAAATTGTCTTTCCCATTGGAGTCAAAATAAGGCTTTTTGTACAATTCTGACAAAGTTAGAAGAATGAGCTTGGTTTCCAGTCCACATTCTGTTTCGCTTGTTCACCCAATGTCACGATAGCTCTGTTGTTTTATTTTTATGGTATGTCAAACACAGAACAACTTTGACTTGAAACGGAGGTTTGACTTTGTTGTTTGTCACGCACCTGTGTGGCAAAGTCAGGTAAATAATTTTACTGTATTACTGTTAAATTCAGATTAGTAGTTATAAAATGCACTAGTGTTAATTTATTCTTTTGATAAAACACTCTATTTTTCATATGGTAAATCCCAGATACTCCAACTGGTTAAACCATAAATTTCTTTGTACAGATGCAATTTTGATAAAAACTTTATTGTATTTGATTCTCTGAATATACTTTGAAACTTTACAAAACAAAAATTCTGATATTATTGCTGAGAGCTACATATATATTGTGCCTAGAAAACATACATCTAAATATATGTAAAAAAAGTACTGATTTCTCCCTGAATATAATTATGTTATTATACATTATGTTAGTATAGTTTAAAAATGACACCTCTTCTATTCTAACAATCATCTCATGTACATGACTTCTTCTTTGATGATCTAGAGATATAAAAAAACAGTGTCCTTGAAGCAAGAAGGTAACTTGGTGTTAAAGTCAGAGACTAAGTACGGTCAGCTAATTGCTAGGTCAGCCTTTGCAGTCTAAAATGTTCTGAACTGGCTCTGAATATATTAAATTAATAAATATATTGGTAAAAAAAAAGAAATTAAAAAACCAACAAACCTCTTTCTAGCTAAGGAATCCAGCAGGTGCTTTAACAACTGATATAATCTTTTTGGACGACCTGCTTAAAAATCTTAAAATCCTCTCTTCCTTTTTTTTTTTTTT